CATGGTTTGACTCGCATATATGTAGTGTTGCATGGTTTGACTCACATATATGTAGTGTTGCATGGTTTGACTCACATACATGTAGTGTTGCATGGTTTGACTCACATATATGTAGTGTTGCATGGTTTGACTCACATATATGTAGTGTTGCATGGTTTGACTCACATACATGTAGTGTTGCATGGTTTGACTCACATACATGTAGTGTTGCATGGTTTGACTCACATATATGTAGTGTTGCATGGTTTGACTCACATATATGTAGTGTTGCATGGTTTGACTCACATATATGTAGTGTTGCATGGTTTGACTCACATACATGTAGTGTTGCATGGTTTGACTCACATATATGTAGTGTTGCATGGTTTGACTCACATACATGTAGTGTTGCATGGTTTGACTCACATATATGTAGTGTTGCATGGTTTGACTCACATATATGTAGTGTTGCATGGTTTGACTCACATATATGTAGTGTTGCATGGTTTGACTCACATATATGTAGTGTTGCATGGTTTGACTCACATACATGTAGTGTTGCATGGTTTGACTCACATACATGTAGTGTTGCATGGTTTGACTCACATACATGTAGTGTTGCATGGTTTGACTCACATATATGTAGTGTTGCATGGTTTGACTCACATGTAGTGTTGCATGGTTTGACTCACATATATGTAGTGTTGCATGGTTTGACTCACATATATGTAGTGTTGCATGGTTTGACTCACATATATGTAGTGTTGCATGGTTTGACTCACATATATGTAGTGTTGCATGGTTTGACTCACATACATGTAGTGTTGCATGGTTTGACTCACATATATGTAGTGTTGCATGGTTTGACTCACATATATGTAGTGTTGCATGGTTTGACTCACATACATGTAGTGTTGCATGGTTTGACTCACATATATGTAGTGTTGCATGGTTTGACTCACATACATGTAGTGTTGCATGGTTTGACTCACATGTAGTGTTGCATGGTTTGACTTCCCTCATACAGTATACCTCTCCTCGCTGTTGACCAGACCACACACTAGAAGGGGAAGGGACGACGACGTTTCGGTCCGTCCTGGACCATTCTCAAGTCGAGTGCCTCTCCTCGCTACTTCTGCTTGTGCCTGAGTATTTTATATTTTATTTATATCATGGCTAAAACACATTGACTGTCAACTGATGGTCTTGTCATGGCGCGTTTGGCCAGCGCATCCGCCACCTCGTTGAGTGATGTTCCAACAGGAATCAACGAAGAATCCAACATGAAATACTCAAAAGTTTTGGCATAAGAATAGTGGGAAAGTGGGATGACCTACGGGAGAAGACTGCAGAGATTAACTTCAGCCATAACAGTAAAAGCAGGTATGATAGGGAAATAGGTCAGGAGTCATTGCATTACACAACCGGTAGCTAGAAAGGCAGAAACCAACAGCTAGAGCTCGATTTTGTATTTTACTGGGCTCTATCAAGCAGAAATTGGTGAGTATCATAAGGTGAATACAGGTCCTCACAGCCGAGCGGAAAACGCTATGAAGGTCAAAGGACTAAGGGCCCAGGTTCGACTCCCGGTCGAGGAAGAAACATATAAGCAGACTTTATGTCACCTAATGCACCTGTTCACCTAGCAGTAAATATTCACACACACATCCCCAGTTCACCTGGGGATGTGTGTGTATGAGATATAAATATATGTAGATGTGATAGAGTCAGTACATTAGACAACCTACGGTTAGAAAGGCGGGGTCCAAGAGCTAACAGCTCAATCATGTAGGCACAAATAGTAAAAAAAGTAAAAAATAGCGAATATACACACAACTCCCTCTCTTCCTCCCCACCACATGTACCAACTCTCCCCAACTCCCTCCCCACCACCACAACCACCCCCATTCCCCCCTCAATACCTCACCTACCCCCTCACAAGTACCGACCTCAATATCACCCCCTCCCCGCCCCTTACAATGTGTGTTCCCCTCGCCAAGCTGGAGTCTCGGACCTGAATAAGACGTCACACATTACTGATATCAAGGCAATATGATTGTTACATCAAGATGGCTACGCTGGAATGGTGACGCCGCCGTTCCTGTTGCCATAACATGCCTTCTGCTTTAATTATTATTGTCAGTGTACTCACCAAATTGTACTCACCTAGTTGTGCTTGCGGGGGTTGAGCTCTGGTTCTTTGGTCCCGCCTCTCAACTGTCAATCAACAGGTGTACAGATTCCTGAGCCTATTGGGCTCTATCATATCTATATTTGAAACTGTGTATGGAGTCAGCCTCCACGACATCACTTCCTAATGCATTCCATCTGTTAACTACTCTGACACTGAAAAAGTTCTTTCTAACGTCCCTGTGGCTCATTTGGGTACTAGGTTTCCACCTGTCCCCTTGTTCGCGTACCACTTGTGTTAAACAGTTTATCTTTATCTACCCTGTCAATTCCTCTGAGAATTTTGTAGGTATTGATCATGTTTCCCCTTACTCTTCTGTCTTCCAGTGTCGTGAGGTGCATTTCCTGCAGTCTTAACTCGTAACTCATGCCTCTTAGTTCTGGGACTAGCCTAATGGCATACATCTGAACTTTTTCAAGCTTCGCCTTGTGACAAGGTATGGGCCCCATGCTGGGGCCGCATATTCCAGGATTGGTCTTGCATATGTGGTATACAAGGTTCTGAATGATTCCTTACACAGGTTCCTGAAGGCAGTTCTGTTAGCCAGTCTCGCATACGCTGCAGATGTTATTCTTTTGATGTGGGCTTCAGAAGACAGGTTTGGTGTGATATTAACTCCCAGATCTTTCTCTCTGTCCGTTTCATGAAGGACTTCCTCCCCCATTCGGTATCCTGTGTCTGGCCTCCTGTTTCGACTGCTTAGTTTCATTACCTTACATTTACTCGTATTTATATTTAATTAATATTTAAGTTCTATGTGATTTTTTTATCAATAAAATTAATGAAACAGAATTTATTAATTACCTGTTCTCAACTATTTAACACAAATATGATATTCAATTGACATGAAAATATCCTGTCTTTATGCAGGCGATGAGTCACAATAACGAGGCTAAAGTATGATGACCAGACCACACACTGGAATGTGAAGGGACGACGACGTTTCGGTCCGTCCTGGACCATTCTCACAATCGACTTGAGAATGGTCCAGGACGGACCGAAACGTCGTCGTCCCTTCACATTCTAGTGTGTGGTCTGGTCATCATCCTGTCTTTCATGTCTACAGAATATCATATTTGTGTTAAATAGCTGATAATAGATAATTAATAAATCCTTTCGTTAATTTTATTACGTCCGCTTTCTCCAATATTCACCACTCGAACAACTAACGTTCTTTTCAATTACTAAAACGAGTTTTGATAAATATTGTCGCAACATAATTTAAAAAAAGAACGTCAGGTGACCCCAAAAATATGACAGAAATGTCTCAGACTGCCGGACCCAGACGGGTCATAGCCTAGTGTGGCAAATAGAGAAGATAAACAGTAATCACAATTAGCCTAAAAGGAGCTTTCGCGGGCAACTATAGCGTTATCTTGAGATGATTTCAGGGCTTTAGTCTCCCCGCGGCCTGTGCCTCCACCCCCAGGAAGCAGCCCGTGACAGCTGACTAACTCCCAGGTACCTATTTTACTGCTAGGTAACAGGTTGCATTAGGGTGAAAGAAACTCTGTCCATCGTTTCTTGCCGGCCCGGGATCGAACCACAGGATCACGCGTCCAGCGTTCTGTCCGCTCAGCCACCGGCTCCCTCAAAGTTGACATTATGTCTTATCTTTTGGGATTGAGAACTCTTTGTTCCTTGTGTCTATGTACCGATTTTTGACGCCTTTCGCTTTTCAAAACATAAATAATTTTGCAGCACAAGTACACCTGCCTACATTAGTGTGCAGTTTTGAAATCAGTTATGACAAGTATTATCATCAAAACTAAATGTATTATCATCAAAACTAAATGTATTATCATCAAAACTAAATGTATTATCAAAACTAAATGTATTATCAAAACTAAATGTATTATCAAAACTAAATGTATTATCATCAAAACTAAATGTATTATCAAAACTAAATGTATTATCATCAAAACTAAATGTATTATCAAAACTAAATGTATTATCAAAACTAAATGTATTATCAAAACTAAATGTATTATCATCAAAACTAAATGTATTATCAAAACTAAATGTATTATCATCAAAACTAAATGTATTATCATCAAAACTAATGTTAAATCTGAGCGTCTTTTCAAACAATTTGGTGAGGATAAAAATGGTGACTACATACGACTAATGGTGCACCAGCGGTGAGATCAGCTCTCACAGGGAAATGCTTTGATAAGATTCATTGAACTATATAATTTTCTTAGTGTGTTTAAAAAGATAAACGTGAAATGAAACTCTTCCAAACAGTTGATGGTAAAACATTATGAGTTATTTAACAGATATCTTTAATAAACAAAACCTGAATATATTAAAAAAAAATGACTGCAAGGAGCAAGTAAAATCCTTAATGATGCAAAGGTTAAGATATTTGCCTTCATTCGATTTCTGCAGTTATGACAAAAGAAAGTTTTATACTAAAAAATTAAAAAAATTCTGGGCTAACTAGGGGCCTGACAGCTGAGTGGACAACGCTAGGGATTCGTAGTCTTGAGGTTCCGGGTTCGATCCCCGGTGGAGGCGGAAACAGATAGGCAAAGTTTCTTTCCCTCTGATGCCTCTGTTCACCTAGCAGTAAATAGGTACCTGGTAGTTAGACAGCTGCTACGGGCTGCTTCCTGGGGGTGTGTAACAAAAAGGAGGCCTGGTCGAGGACTGGGCCGCGGGGACGCTAAGCCCCGAAAATATCTCAAGATAACTAAGTGAGAAGTTCCTGAGCAAATTGGTCTGTGATTTTAATGAAAGATTTTCTAATTTGAAAAATATTTGTTCCCCACTTTGGATAATTCGGCCAATGTTTCCCACCTTGGATAACTCGACCAATGTTCCCCACCTTGGATAACTCGGCCAATGTTCTCCACCTTGGATAACTCGGCCAATGTTCCCCACCTTGGATAACTCGGCCAATGTTCTCCACCTTGGATAACTCGGCCAATGTTCCCCACCTTGGATAACTCGGCCAAAGCTGGTGGATTTAAATATGGTGGCTTTGCAATACCAGAAAGAATTATCGCACCTGCCAAACGATGATTCAATTAAAACCTTATTTATAATCAAAGGAACAAGTGCGAGGTTTCGCGATGAAACAAAATCATCCAAACGCAAAGTAATTAACAGGAAAATTGCCTATTGCCGTTCCCGAGTTCATATTAGGTTGAATGTGGGTTATTGATGTAAGTGATGTATTGTTAAAAATAATTAAAAAAATCGACTGGATATTACAAATCGTGTTTTTTTTTTAATATTACAATTTATTAAATTTCCACTTCAGATCAAAACTATTTGCAGCAGACACTTAGCGTACGGACGCATTCATGTTAATTATATTTTCCAAAATTGAGATAATTTTGTGTATGCTCCCAAGCTCAATGTCATTTATTAGAACTTGTAATGTATTCCATCAAGTTTATTTTATTGATTGCCATTTTCTGTTGTTGAACTGTCATTTATTATTGTTCTTTTTTCTTAATGTATTGCAATATAAATATATTTTATTTATTGTAATATGAATCATACCTTTTATTGTATTCTTTCGTTCAGGTTTGAATTTCACGGTGTAAATTGGACTTGAAGTTGAAACTCAATTTCCCCGACGGCATTAGGGAGACCTATTTTTGTCTGTTAGATCCTGAACCTAGGGGGGGGGGGGCCCATGGGTGCACAGGTGGGTCATGGGTGCTCAGGTGGGGGCATGAGTACTCAGGTGGGGGCATGAGTGCTCAGGTGGGGAGCATGGGTGCTCAGGTGGGGAGCATGGGTGCTCAGGTGGGGGCATGGGTGCACAGGTGGGGGCATGGGTGCTCAGGTGGGGGCATGGGTAAAAAAATGTTAGGAAAACACTGCTGTAAAAGAACTGAAACACTCATGATTATTTCAACATTTCCACGTTATATCTCTATAAGCATGTCTGTCACAGTATAAATAAACTGATCTCTGTCAGCCACATCACAAGTCTTCCTGTCACAGGCGAATATATGGAAGTTCCTCTGTTGGAGCTGAGCTGATTTTTAAAACATAATAAAATAGTTTGCTCCCCGGGCATCATGGCCAGGAGCCGGCCGGATTTACACTCCTGTGTTCCCCATTGCTGCTGCGTGGCCAACTCGGCCCAAAGCGTTCAGCCCTTGGCCAGTATTCCAGACTGGAACCTCTCACTTACGGTTGTAACGTGCCGGCTACTGCATCAATGCTCTCTCTCTCTCTCTCTCTCACACGCAGCAAGCTGTGGGGCCTGGTAGCCTAATGGATAGCGCGCAGAACTCGAAATTCTGTGGCGCGGGTTCGATTCCCGCACCAGGCAGAAACAAATGGGCAAAGTTTCTTTCACCCTGAATGCCCCTATTACCTAGCAGTAAATAGGTACCTGGGAGTTAGTCAGCTGTCACGGGCTGCTTCCTGGGGAGTGTGTGTGTGGTGTGGAAAAAAAAAGAAAAAAAATAGTAGTTAGTAAACAGTTGATTGACAGTTGAGAGGCGGGCCGAAAGAGCAAAGCTCAATCCCCGCAAACACAACTAGGTGAATACACACACACACACACACACACACACACACAGCTTGGTATTCCCTGGTTTACAGCCACACCCACCACAGCGCAGCAAGCTGGGAATTCATTAGTCTCAGGGGATCCCTTAAACCCACTTAAACCACTGGCCTCCGCCTCGTTAAACCCAGATGTGACACAAGGGAAGAAGCCATTAAATCATTTAGCGCAATAGGTGGTAATTAAAACACCTGAGTTAAAATGACAATTGGCTCTTTGGATGAAGGTGGTTGACTGTTCGTTAAAGGGTTCGTTAAGGATGATTCATCCATGTAATCTCGGGCTTTAATTGTTGCTTTGTCTGTTATCTCAGCTTTTATCGGTTTGTTTGGGTTCTGTTAAAAAAAAAAGCTCTTTACCTCTGTTCATTGTGGAAAAGCTACTTTTTCACGTTATGAATCAGTAATATTTTTTTAATTGTGTTTACCTTTTTATGACAACTTAAATGACAACATTATTATTGAATGTGTCAAACATTCAGTAATAAAAAATTAATTATGTTTACTTTTTTAGACTACTTTTTAATTATAACAACTTTTTTCAGTGATGTTTTCCATCGTCAGATAACACTTCTGCTTAAACAGTTCTTTCTGACGTCTCAGGGACTTACTTGTGCCTCGGGCATCCATCCACGTTCTCTCCTTATACTGTGTCTTGCTTTAAACATTGTTGCTCTGTCTACTTGTCTTAATTCCTCTCGAGACCCTTCAGTGTGGTTGCAGACGATGAGTCACAATAACGTGGCTGAAGATATGATGAACCACACATTAGAAGATGAGGAGACGAGAACGTTTCGGTCCGCCTTGGATCATTATCAAGCCGTGTGATATGGTCCAGGACGGACCGAAAGGCCGTCGGTTCTTTCCTTGATGTGTAGTGTAGTCATTATTTTATGTAGTGATCATGTCTCCCCCTGTTCCTTTTTTTCTTCTAGTGCGATGAGGTTCACTTCCCTTAATCATTCTTCGTGGTTCAAATTCTTATTTAAGGAACGAACCTCGTTACATATCTAAGATGATTTTCTTGTCTCTCGGGTCTTGTCTCTGCAGGGGGTCTTGTCTCTTGGGTCTTGTCTCTTGGGTCTTGTCTCTGGGGGTCTTGTCTCTGGGGGTCTTGTCTCTGGGGGGTCTTGTCTCTGGGGGTCTTGTCTCTGGGGGTCTTGTCTCTGCAGGGGGTCTTGTCTCTTGGGTCTTGTCTCTGGGGTCTTGTCTCTGGGGGTCTTGTCTCTGGGGGTCTTGTCTCTGGGGGTCTTGTCTCTGGGGGTCTTGTCTCTGGGGGTCTTGTCTCTTGGGTCTTGTCTCTTGGGTCTTGTCTCTGGGGTCTTGTCTCTGGGGGCCTTGTCTCTGGGGGTCTTGTCTCTGGGGGTCTTGTCTCTTGGGTCTTGTCTCTTGGGTCTTGTCTCTTGGGAGTCTTGTCTCTGGGGGTCTTGTCTCTGGGGTCTAGTCACTGGGGTCTTCTCTCTGGGTTTTTATTCTCTCTGAGGGTCTTGTCTCTGGGGGTCTTGTCTCTGGGGGTCTTGTCTCTGGGGTCTAGTCACTGGGTCTTCTCTCTGGGTTTTTATTCTCTCTGAGGGTCTTGTCTCTGGGGGTCTTGTCTCTGGGGTCTTGTCTCTGGGGGTCTTGTCTCTGGGGGTCTTGTCTCTGGGGGTCTTGTCTCTGGGGGTCTTGGCTCTGGGAGTCTTGTCTCTGGGGGTCTTGTCTCTGGGGGTCTTGTCTCTGGGGGTCTTGTCTCTGGGAGTCTTGTCTCTGGGGGTCTTGTCTCTGGGGGTCTTGTCTCTGGGGGTCTTGTCTCTGGGGGTCTCGTCTCTGGGGTCTTGCCTCTGGGGGTCTTGTCTCTGGGGGTCTTGTCTCTGGGGGTCTTGTCTCTGGGAGTCTTGTCTCTGGGAGTCTTGTCTCTGGGAGTCTTGTCTCTGGGGGTCTTGTCTCTGGGGGTCTTGTCTCTGGGGGTCTTGTCTCTGGGGGTCTTGTCTCTGGACCCTCAGATCTTTCTCCTGCTCTGAGATAGGATTTTATTTTCCTTTCGTCGTATATTGTTCCTGTTATCGTCTTGTTCCTGTGAACTTCGTTCCTGTTATCTTCTTGCTCCTGTGATTTTCTTGCTCCTGTTATCTTCTTGTTCCTGTGATCTTGTTCCTAGGAGGTTGAATGCCTTTTTCAGGCTTAAATTCAAGTAGTCACCTTTCAGACCATCTTTGAGGGTTGTCTAAATCTTCTTGGTTTCTCTTATATCATTCATGTGTACTAACTCTCCTCATTATCTTTCCATTGTCAGCAAACATGGATAATGTTCGCTATCAGATCATTACCGTATATGAAGAACAGGACAGGTCCCAGTCCTGACCCTTGTGACACCCTGCTCGTGATCTCTCATAGTTCTGATTTCTTATAACTGAGGCACTTTGTTTCCTATCAGAAAGGTACTCCTTTTATCCCATCCGAGTGCTCTTCCAGTTACTAAACATTTTGATGTTTAGTAACTCAGTTCGATTTCTCTAGATATTTTGTGATTTCCCACAGCTTCTGGTGTAGACCAATCCACACACTAGAAAATGAAGGGACGACGACGTTTCGGTCCGTCCTGGATCATTCTCAAGTCGATTGGGTTCCTTGACTAATCGACTTGAGAATGGTGCAAGACGGAACCAAACGTCTTCGTCCCTTCATTTTCTAGTGTGTGGATTGGTCAACATACTTCAGCCACGTTACTGTGACTCATCGCCAGCTTCTGATGTACTTTGCCTGCAGTGCTTGCTTGTGACAACGATCTCAAGTTTAACTGTGTACACAGTTCTTTTACTAAATCCTTTTAAATTCATTGCGAGATCTCGTTAGGGATTTTACGTTCTCTAATTCTACCGGTTCCTTCACTTTTTTTTCTGCTCGACAGTTTAAGTCAGGTGTATATTGTTGTTTCCCCGTGAAATCTCGTTCTCTTTTATTTAGTCAGACAAACTGGACATTTATAGACATCTTCCTACTGATGTATCTGGGGTTAGAAGCTTAGGCTGGTCCTTCGTCTTGGTAGCTACGTCGTCCTCATATCATTTCTCCACATTCGTCCTTGAAACCTTATCCATTCTTACCTCGTTGTCCTGTAGATATGATATTAACATCACAACTACTATCACCACCATTGCTACCATAACCACCCCGTACTTCAATCACCATCGGCATTACCACCGTTGATATCACCACTATTACTACTACTACCACAACCACTACTAACACTACAACCACCTCAACCAACACTGACACCAACAGCAACACAACCAATGTGGAAAACTAGGCCAGTTTTACTAATCCTGTGAAATGTTTCTGCGCTTAGTTCAATGATTTCACCGCTCACCGAGCAAGCTGATTCACCAAAAAAAAAAATGCCATCTATATTGCTTCAGCTATGAAACAGCGTTTCACTGATTCGTAAGTGTAAAGTAACAATTACTACATTTATCGTATATTCAGCACCACAGGAATGGACACTTTTGGAGCGGTATTTCAACTCAAAAAGGAACTTTTCAACTCGACAAGGAACCTATGCTTACCCAACCAGGAACCTATACTTTTCAACACAACCAGGAACCTATACTTTTCAACACAACCAGGAACCTATACTTTTCAACACAACCAGGAACCTATACTTTTCAACACAACCAGGAACCTATACTTTTCAACACAACCAGGAACCTATACTTTTCAACACAACCAGGAACCTATACTTTTCAACACAACCAGGAACCTATACTTTTCAACACAACAAGGAACATATACTTTTCAACACAACCAGGAACCTATACTTTTCAACACAACCTGGAACCTATACTTTTCAACACAACCAGGAACCTATACTTTTCAACACAACAAGGAACATATACTTATACGTACTCAACCGCCATACTTGCTGTATGATGATTGTGTATACCTCCTAGCGAAAGCCTTTCTGCGCTTGAGAAACAATCATTGACCCACACAAATTTTGAATGGTAACTGAACAAAATCCGGCTTAGCTGTGCTGTGGTATAAGCCGGATGCTGCGGTATAAGCCGGATATAGCATCAGCTGCGGTTTTGTTCCTGCTTGAATTGGCTGCAGAGCTCCTGACTCATCTACACTGTTTTAAAGACACTGGTTATCCAGTCTGTTGGATAGCAACAGCCGCAGTTGTTTGGCATGCTGATTGGAAAGATTTAGTTGGCATGAGACGGGGAGGGAGGGTTTCTCTCCGGTTTCCTTAAGGCGAGGACCGAGAGCTGGAGTCTTGCCCAGTCGGGACGGTGGAGACAGGTTGATGGCCACACGTCCTCTTAGTACCCTTGGTCAAGCGAGTGAGGTGTGTGTGTGTGTGTGTGTGTGTGTGTGTGTGTGTGTGTGTGTGTGTGTGTGTGTGTGTGTGTGTGTGTGTGTGTGTGTACTCACCTAATTGTGCTTGTGTGTGTGTGTCTGTGTGTGTCTGTGTGTGTCTGTGTGTGTGTCTGTGTGTATGTGTGTCTGTGTGTATATGAGTGTGTGTGTGTCTGTGTGTATGTGTGTCTGTGTGTATATGAGTGTGTGTGTGTGTGTACTCACCTAATTGTACTCACCTAATTGTGCTTGTGTGTGTGTGTCTGTGTGTGTGTGTCTGTGTGTGTGTCTGTGTGTGTGTCTGTGTGTGTGTCTGTGTGTCTGTATGTGTGTGTGTGTGTGTATGTGTGTCTGTGTGTATGTGTCTGTGTGTGTGTGTGTGTGTGTATATGTGTGTAATATTGACAATTGTGTACCCAGCTTCACAACATAGTCACTTGCTTAGCTAGTGAACTGTGGGGGTCAGTTCCTATGGGGTGCATAATAAATAAATAAATGAATGAAAATGAATGCTGTGCATTCACCGCTGGGGAGTGGGGGGGGGGCACATCCTCACTATATAACCGATTCATTATTTATTACTTTTTTATTTAAGTAAAGTTATATATGTTCTATTCTTGTGGTTGTAATTCGCATTTGAGACAGATATGAGATTAAATGTGTATTTAAAGTAAATAAGAAAAGTAATTGTAAATTATTCCTAGTGTCTACACAGTGTGGAGTTTTAACGCTAATCACCAATTAACGATCTGATTTTAATAGTATTACTCCCACACCACCACAACCACAATTACCATCAACAGCGCCACTACCACCACAATTTCAACTGTCACCACAATCTCACCTTTCGCCACCATCACCACCATTGCAGGAGTTTGTAATGCATAATAATTCCGTAAAGGCGAGAGTTGGTGGAGCCACCGTGGAGGGCGGGGATGTTTCGCTGAGCTCCTGAACTGGTAGTTTGAGCTGTTCGCTGAAGTTTGTTGATGTCTGCGGCCTGCCAGTCGTGGCTTGACGGGGGCAGGGCTCGGCAGTGGGGTCCGCTGCCAGTGTGGAGTAGCGCTGTAACACAGTGGAGGTGTGGAGGTATACAAGTCGAACGCCTCCACCTTGGTGAACATCGCCCTATTCCTCGAGATTGTAGACGTCGCTGGTGTCCTGCTTCTTGCGAAAGGGGTGGTGTTGGTGAGGTTGGTCTTCCTGCGCTGTTCGGTCTTCCTGCGCTGTTCGGTCTTCCTGCGCTGTTCGGTCATTCTGCGATGTTCGGTCTTACTGCGCCGTCTCGTGGCTGCCTCCACCAATATGAGGGAGCGAGTGTTGCCACTGCCTGGGGTTAAATTTGTAAGGTATGAATATGTTTATTCTCTTATATTATATATGCATTGACTTTTTTTTTTAAAGATTCTTATGTAGTTGCTATCAAAATATTAATAGTAAGCAGTAGGTCATACTCCCTGGAAGAATGGCAAATGTGACTCCTATTGGATTCGAACCCAGTTTAAAGATTATCACTAATCTTAAGACACATTTTAAGCCAAATATGTATTATATAAATGGTTTCGGTAAGAAAATAAACATTTTAAAGCATAATGTCGTGATCAAGTTACTTATTGGCAGCGCCAACAAAATATTATGTTTTGTAGAAAATTTAAAAAAAAAATATCACGGCAACATGGATATATTCCCGGGTACAGAACGACGGATATCGTGTATTAAAGCTATCAAGTACAGTGTTGGCTGACTAAACTACACTTTTAAGAAAAATTGCATCTTGTTGCGTGTTCAACTAACCGACTGACTGCTGATTGGTGTTGGATATGCAACCTGTCCTCCTACAACCTGTCCTCCTACAACCTGTCCTCCTACAACCTGTCCTCCTACAACCTGTCCTCCTACAACCTGTCCTCCTACAACCTGTCCTCCTACAACCTGTCCTCCTACAACCTGTCCTCCCACAACCTGTCCTCCTACAACCTGTCCTCCTACAACCTGTCCTCCTACAACCTGTCCTCCTACAACCTGTCCTCCTACAACCTGTCCTCCTACAACCTGTCCTCCCACAACCTGTCCTCCTACAACCTGTCCTCCCACAAAGAACGTCGCTTTTCGCTCGTATGCGTTACATAAGGCCAAAAATTGTCGTAGTAGAAAATGGAAGCGGCTGGCCAAAACAATGACGTACTGCCCCGTTTTCTGTTTTGGGTCCTCAAGTTGATTAGGATAAGGACACTTTAAAATGATCGTTTCCTTGGCGTTGGGAGGTCTTAGGAGGATGGGCTGGGATATCTCTAATATCTCTACGCCTAAAATTTGAAAATGCGAATGTTTGAGATATTTTAATCCAGTATGGGTATAAGAGACATGACTTTGAATAAACCTAACTATTTGCATTAAAAATCCACAAAGGGCTGTTTATATATGCTACTTCGACCAAAAATTTACTTATGGGTACCATCCTTTTGTAGGGAAAAATGTAAGTGTGTTTTAGCGTTTATAAAACGGTTCGAAAACGTGATAATTTCGCCTGTTAGTTAAAAATTGATGGATGAACTGCAATTTGCCAAGAATGTGATTCTTCCATGACTGCAAATGGCATGGCAAAATGTCATGAATGCAATTTGCCTGAGGTTAGGTTAAAGACAAATATATTGATTATAATGATTGGACTACCGAAAAACCTAAACGTACCATAATTTATTAGCAAAAATCATGTGACATGAGTTAACAAATGTTTTTAGATAAGTTGAAAATACAGGAAAAGACAATGGAGGGGAGGGGAGGGGGTTATTTCTGGTAAAATCTATATTCGCCTAAGAATACAGAGCGTTGTTGAAGCTTCAATTGATTAAAAGGTTACCTTAACCACTTGACCAACAGTGACCGTGCAAAAGACGTTGGTTCGCATTTGTGTTGCTCACTTGGCCACAGAAAGTGAGGTGATTCGATGAATTATACAGACATATTAGCGGGTTGTATGTCGATTTGTGTGTGCAATGTTGCACGCAAATGCCTTCTTCCACTTGACCAAGCAAGACGTGAGCCAGATGTCCAAGATCCAGGGTGTGGCTTATCGAATAAGGGATCCTTATCCGCGAGCTTCGCCTGGGTGTCGAACCACGTTGGTCGTGGTAGTCCCTCAAAGCTAAGGGGTGAACTAGAGGCAGTTCATTTAAGTTCCCTCTACAACCAATTCATTTGAGAATTGGTTGTAGACTAGCACTCTCATACTATTGGTTCTATATAGTACGAATCTTAGGAGCAGGTCAGGTAGATTAGCGTGGATCTATCAAGTGGATTAGAGTGGATCTATCAGGTGGATTAGCGTGGATCTATCAGGTGGATTAGCGTGGATCTATCAGGTGGATTAGCGTGGATCTATCAGGTGGATTAGCGTGGATCTATCAGGTGGATTAGCGTGGATCTATCAGGTGGATTAGCGTGGATCTATCAGGTGGATTAGCGTGGATCTATCAGGTGGATTAGCGTGGATCTATCAGGTGGATTAGCGTGGATCTATCAGGTGGATTAGCGTGGATCTATCAGGTGGATTAGCGTGGATCTATCAGGTGGATTAGCGTGGATCAGGTGGATTAGCGTGGATCTATCGGGTGGATTAGCGTGGATCTATCGGGTGGATTAGCGTGGATCTATCGGGTGGATTAGCGTGGATCTATCGGGTGGATTAGCGTGGATCTATCAGGTGGATTAGCGTGGATCTATCAGGTGGATTAGCGTGGATCTATCAGGTGGATTAGCGTGGATCTATCAGGTGGATTAGCGTGGATCTATCAGGTGGATTAGCGTGGATCTATCAGGTGGATTAGCGTGGATCTATCAAGTGGATTAGCGTGGATCTATCGGGTGGATTAGCGTGGATCTATCGGGTGGATTAGCGTGGATCTATCGGGTGGATTAGCGTGGATCTATCGGGTGGATTAGCGTGGATCTATCGGGTGGATTAGCGTGGATCTATCGGGTGGATTAGCGTGGATCTATTAGCGTGGGTGGATTAGCGTGGATCTATCGGGTGGATTAGCGTGGATCTATCGGGTGGATTAGCGTGGATCTATCGGGTGGATTAGCGTGGATCTATCGGGTGGATTCGTGGGGTGGATTAGCGTGGATCTATCGGGTGGATTAGCGTGGATCTATCGGGTGGATTAGCGTGGATCTATCGGGTGGATAGCTGGATCAGGTGGATTAGCGTGGATCTATCGGGTGGATTAGCGTGGATCTATCGGGTGGATTAGATCTATCGTGGATTATCTATCGGGTGGATTAGCGTGGATCAGGTGGATTCGGGTGGATTAGCGTGGATCTATGGCGTGGATCTATCGGGTGGATTAGCGTGGATCTATCGGGTGGATTAGCGTGGATCGGGTGGATTAGCGTGGATCTATGGATTAGCGTGGATCTATCAGGTGGATTAGCGTGGATCTATCAGGTGGATTAGCGTGGATCTATCAAGTGGATTAGCGTGGATCTATCGGGTAGATTAGCGTGGATCTATCGGGTAGATTAGCGTGGATCTATCGGGTAGATTAGCGTGGATCTACCTATCTACTGACCATTTACTGTTCAGTAAAGGGTCAATGTAAAGCAGAAACAATATATATTCAGAGAATTTAATGACTAATACATACATGAGGAGGAACTTTTCTGATTGGTGGCTAAATATTGCGTCAGTCACTCTTGCAGGTCTAGCTGACCAATCACGCAACGACAATCCTGTCTTAACACATGTTAAGACATGACACATGTTCATGTTAACACATGTTTAACAACCCATCAACTAGGCACGGCTTATCCCCAGCGTTGCCAGGGGCTGGGAATTAATTTCCAGTTCCTTAGGATACTTGACAACCCTTAAAACGACACGCAGAAAATATAATGCAATAACGACATGTACGTAGAAACTGAAGAGTGTCGTGTTGGGTTGCAACATCAACATCTCGGTCGAGTGAAGGTATACCACGCTCAGAGTACCACTCGATCACTCGACAAGTCCCACTCGACCTCTACTTATCCCGGGGTGCTGTAGCTGAGGCCAGCAGGGCATTTGTGGATTAGTGTACCTACGTCAACGGCCGGCCATGACACGAGCCGTTCCCGTCACCTACACGACACACGCGTTCACTTCACGTTGCACCTCCACGACTCCACGAGGTGGCGCGTGCACGTGGTGTGAGTGTAGGGGTGGTGGTGCGAGGTGGCGCGTGCACGTGGTGTGTGTGAGTGTAGGGGTGGTGGTGCGAGGTGGCGCGTGCACGTGGTGTGTGTGAGTGTAGGGGTGGTGGTGCGAGGTGGCGCGTGCACGTGGTGTGAGTGTAGGGGTGGTGGTGCGAGGTGGCGCGTGCACGTGGTGTGTGTGAGTGTAGGGGTGGTGGTGCAGGTGCGCTACAGGAGGGCAGTGACACGCCTGGTCTTCTTGGAGAGAAGACGCGCCACGTGAACGCCACGTTGGGTGCGGGGCTTCACTGTGCTTCAAGACACGTGGTTCATCACACGGGTTTACACGTGGTGGCTCAGAACGTGGACACATGACATGGTTGGAAATATTCTCTCTCACACTCTCTCACACTCTCTCACACTCTCTCACACTCTCTCACACTCTCTCACACTCTCTCACACTCTCTCACACTCTCTCACACTCTCTCACACTCTCTCACACTCTCTCACACTCTCACACACACACTCTCTCTCTCTCTCTCTCTCTCTCACACACGGGTTTAAACTTCAAATGCTTCAGTCTATACCGCTTGCCATGTGCATCAACTATACTGTGGCATCGGTAACTGGTCAATTATTCTAAAGATCACTGGGATATATTATGACGAAAGTCTTCACACTGTTCATCGCATCTGTTACCTTTCGCGATACATGTTTCCTGCCAGTTATCCTCAGTCACCTTAAATATACCGCACCGCGGGATCCGGGCCGCTTGCTATCATTTTCGAATGGTCGAGTTAACTTGAGGTCGTCGGAGGACTTAGACTATGCTAGTATAGCTATTTCGGCCGGATAGCTTTAAGTTACACATTCGCATTGAACAAAAGTCCTGGTAGGGAATGACCTGACTTCCAAGCTCATTCCCTATCTAGGGCTGCCCTTGGGCTCCCCTCCCTAGGGCTACAGATTAGTGTAAAATATTATTTTCTATGGTTTTAAGAGCTAGGAGGATATAGGATAGATTAACACTGCACGCTTGTGATGGTAAAACTATACTTTCCAATAAATTGGTATGCGTTGGAGT